CATTCGACAAAGTACATGATAATTCTAGAAACGTTGCGTCACGTGGTCATGTGACTCGCTGACGCAACAATACTTTATTTTTATATGAACAGTACTTGCTACAGAGTTATTACATCAAATCCTTTCTACGTTTCTACCTCTTCAAGGGGAAAGTGGTGTTTTTCTCAATACTAATGCAGACTATGTTTGACTTTTGACACGTAAGTTATAAGTATCCGCAATACAAACAGATTATGGTTATTGTTGCGTATCTGCTTGTTTGTTAATTTCCGGTATAAATCTGTTCCGAGTAACTTCAGCGATACAAGTCCCTTCTTGATTAAAATAGTTTATTCTTTCTCGATACGACTTTTAATAATACACAGCATTTCCACATTCACTTTAAACTTAACAACCTTTGTAACACACGCTATAAATCACAGCGATCCACACACTTTATTTACGGTGCATACTGTTCGCTTGACTCAATTATCTCGCGCTGGTTTTTATCGCCAGGCTTATATATTAAAAAAGAGCGTCTCGAATGCACTTGGGCCTTCATGATCATTCGAGAAAATCCAGTGCGCATGCTCCCAGTGTCGCGTGACTTCCGCTGTCGTAACAATATATTTTAATTAAGAAATATATAAACTATAAGACCAGAAAAGCAAGTAGAGGCGAGGGAACGGTGGTAAAATTAAATCTTTAATATTTTATGCAGAACAGGCATAATGAAATACTGGGGTTTCTGTACAAGACTGGCTAGCTTCACTGGTAATTTAGAAACAATATACCAACTGTTGAATCTCGGAAAACTTTACTTTTGCGCTGGACAAAAAATATTACTGAAATTTTGTGATATTTTCAGGTGAAGCTGATTCCTCGTAAGAGAAATTTAGATCGGTAAAGGCAGGAAATGATAATGAATTTAACTAAACTATCTGCATTTGAATAAAGTAATTAAACAGATTGAACACAGCATGTAACACTGAATTCAAATAATCTTCATATATCAAAGACACTAAACATAGTGTGTGTGTATTTGCTTATGGATGCTGTATGGTCGCCTTTCGTTGGATTGGCATATTCCCTTGAGATTTATTCACACTTAACGGGAACGTCGAATTTATCCACAGCGACTAGAACTTTTAAAGTGACTGACCATTCTCATTGTAGCATATGAGAAGCCATAACAGTTCTATTCTTCGTCAAATGATAATTCCTACTGTATATGTTCAAGAGAAATAAACTTCTGTAGTTTAGAGGTACACTGATGTCAGACAGAAAAATGTTAAGATTTGAATGAAACAGCATAGTTTAGGATAAGTCAAGCATGAAATGACTAAACCAACAAAGACAAAATACTCAATTAATAAAACAAAGTATTTGTTCATACAAAAACAAAATATATTGCTTGGGTATTACCTCGATTGGCCACTTTCTTGTTCATTACAAGATTGCATGGTAGCTGGAGAAAGTAGAAAGCAATATATATCAAAGATCATTTTAATTCTACATATAATCTGTTTCTTTTAGTTTAAGTTTAGAAAGATAAATTCTTCATGTTCACCAAAATAATAATGATAAGCTTTTAAATTTACATGCATTTGTGTAACATACAGATAACCAGTTCTGAAATGCAGTAATCTTATTCTTATACTAGTCACACTCTATGTAAATTTATTCTACATTGGTATTTCTGTACTTTCCCATGGAAAATGGTACAGAATATTTTTTAAATTTGTGATAATGTGTTCTCTAGTAGTATTACTCTTACAGAGGTCAAACAATACCCAAGAAATGTATTTCTTCTATTTGCTAATGAGATGACCAGTGATGTGGTAATAAATGCACCTTGGGAGATAGTATATAGGGGTAAATTACTGTTGCACTAGCGAGGTCACGTGACTAGTATCACGCCACTTCTTTCTCAAACCTTCGTGAATTGTCGAGAGATTATTAGATTGGAGGTAGTCTGGTATATATAAGATGTTCACAACGTGACGGGACAATGTGTAGGTAATGGGTAATTGAACTGCAGTCAGAGAGTGTGTAATTGAACGGAGCTCGTGAGACGCGAGTTATAGCGTTTGTTATAGAGCGACTGTTGAAACTAAGTGTATCGTCAAGTTGTATTCAGAAAGAATAAACCAGTTTTATTTAAGAAAAGACTTGTGTCACCAAAGTTTCGTCGGAACGAATTTACGGAAAATTAACTAACGACTGGAGGTGTAACAAATTGGTGTCAGAGAGTGGGATAAAACAATGGAAACGAGAAGTGGCAAATCAAACTACAGCCTAGCAGACTTAATGGCAGCAATACAAGAACAGCAAAAGAAACGAGAAGAACGAGAAGAGAAATTACAACAGTTGTTAGAGGAAAAAGAAAAGAAACAAGAAGAACGAGAGAATAAACAAGAAAAGAGACAAGAAGAGAGATTACAGCAGTTGCAAGATAACCTGCAACAGTGGCAGCTCGAACAGCAATATAAACAAGAAGAGAAATTACAGCAGTTGTTGGATGAAAAAGAAAAGAAACAAGAAGAGAAATTACAGCAGTTGTTGGAGGAAAAAGAAAAGAAGCAAGAAGAGAAATTACAGCAGTGGCAACTGGAACAAGAAAGGAAACAGGAAGAGTCAGCAGCAATTACAGGAAAGCCAACAACAGTGGCAAGAGGTACAAATGGAAAACATTCGTAAATTTAAAAGCGAATTAGATACATTAAATGGTGATTTATTGTCTTTACACAAGGAGGATACATTAGCCATCGACTTAACGAGCACCTGACAATGGAAAGCCCCTTCCAGACCCCGCAGCTAAACCCTAATGCAGACATTTCAGCCCTGTTAGAAGTCACATCCAAGATATGAAGCCAAAGGAATTCGATGGAAAAGCACCGTGGGAAGCATATAGAGCACAATTTGAGCTACTGGGAGAAATGAATGGGTGGACAGAGGAGCAGAAAGCAGTATATCTCGCAACGAGCTGGAAGAGACAACCACTGGAAATACTTGGACAGTTGTCAGCAGACGACAGACACAACTATAGAGCACTGGTATCGGCTCTAGAACTCAGGTAGGGAACCCAAAACCAGTCAGAAATCTACAGGTCTGGGTTTAGGACGAGAGTCCGTGCTAAAGGGGAGAGCCTGCAAAAGCTGGCTCAGGACTTGGAAACCATGGCACACAAGGCCTACCCAACTGCACCACCCAATCTCCTCAAGTTGTTGCTGAGGGATCAGTTCGTAGATGCCTTGGACAGTCCACAACTTAAGATACAAGTGAAGCAAGCACACCCCTCTACCATGCAGGATGCAATGGCCAGAGCTCTCGAATTTGAATCTTACGTTAAGTCCAGCACAGGGGTACCAAGGTTGGTTCAGTCATCTGGATTCAAGGACAGAAAAGATCAGCTTTCAGAGAAGTTTGAGGGACTTTGCTGGGTACAAGAGAGCTCAATGCTGGAAACTTCAACACAGGGGAGATGATACAGCAGGAAAGGCTGCTACCCAGAAAGGCTGTTGGAACTGTGGGGAGCAAGGACATCTGAGGAGCCAGTGTAGGAAGAATATAACCAACAAGTCAGCCTCAAGAAGACCAGTAGTGGTTGGTGTTCAGGAACAGTCACCAACCCCCATCATGAAAATCCCTACAGCTAGGTGTAATATGCC